AAGAAATGAAAAATTTCAAAATGAAAAACTTTGCTGTGTCAACTCATATAATTATCTTGAATAATCTTTCAGTCAAATGGTAAATTTACAGAAGCTAGAGACAACCTAGCAGATAAAGCAATCAAAGCAATGTATGCACTAAAGCAGTCTTTACCAAAAGAAACAGACTGTAAAACGTACATCCATCTGTTTAATATATGTATCAAACCAATTTTACTGTATGGATCTGAAATTTGGGGAATGGAAAATATGAGTAACAATAACTGGGACAAAACTAAAACAGAAAAAGTGCATCTAAAATTCATTAAACAACTACTTGGGCTTAATGTATACACAGCGAATAGTGCATGTCGGGGTGAAATTGGAGCATTTCCATTGATAACTGAAGTGAAAATCAATATGATTAAGTTCTGGTCCCGTGTCACAGACAAGTCACAAAATAATTATACAAAGATAGCGTTAAGCGATCAGACTTTGTCAAAAGCACAATGGGAAACATCAGTCAAAAACATCTTGAAAGATGCAGACCTCTCTAAAACATCACAGCTATCACATCAAAATATTAAGGAAATTAGCAGCACTATTAAACAACAATACATAACATACTGGAGAGAGAATATGACAAAAGAAAAAACAAAACTGAGAACATACATTAAATTTAAAATGAATTACAAAGAATATCACTGGCTAGATTCAAGACAAGTAGTCACAATCTAGCCATTGAAAAAGGCAGACATACCAATCCAAAAACCCCATTAGAAAATAGAATTTGTAAACAATGCCCATTACAGGAGATCGAAGACAAATTACACTTTCTTTTAGTTTGCCCACGATATCAAACAGATAGAAATGATTTTATTTCCAATATTTTATTCCCCAAAGAAATCATTACCAACCTGCAAAAATTCACATATTTAATGAAAAGTAATGACAGAAATATAATAAAACTTTTAGGGGAATTTTTACATAAATCATTCATTTCAAGAAATGAGCTTTTTTTGGATATAATACCTTGACTCTTTTTTTCTATTTTTTTTTTTTACATTATCATACTTTGATATTTTTAATCACTTATATATTTATTGCTGTAAACCAATAGAACATTTGTAATTCTAAGGATGCAATAAAGTTATTATTATTATTATTATTATTATTAGTGATAAATGAAAGAGTCACACAAAATGTAAGTTGAAACAATTGCACATTTTAATTGTCATAGTTACAATGGGATTGCAAAAAACACTGACCATGCTCAGTATGTTAACCAGCTAGCACAAACTACACAGTTCTGAAAACAAATGTAACTTTTATACAATACTATGACAAGGAATTGTCTTGGTACATGTATTTGTTGGGCATAGAAGTTATTCCCATTTCACTTGCAGGATACACACATTACTCATAACTGACTTTTGCTGAAATTCACTGCTTTACAACAAGCTGGATGCCCTTGCCCTTGGATTTATCCACTGAGCAAAGTCTGCATGCTTTAGTTAATCGTCCACTCCAAATCTTTTCAGGGATGTAGTTGGACAACACACTGAATGGAATTTTTCACCTACTTCCAATGCATTGTCAGTCGACACTAGGCGTTATTGAATAAATAACATGTCTTACAAACTGAATTGCTTTATTAAACTCCCTGAGCTAATTCTTTAAACACTTGTGCCAAAATTGAGTCATGCTCCTCTTGAAATTAACACTGACAAACACATACTTTGTCCCACAAATATACCCAGTTACTGTAAATCGCATAAAGAAGTGTGCACTTCCTCACCTGCAGTTATATAACATTTATAAACCCGTATTGTCACCTTGACTTTTTATCCCACATTGTAGCATAGTCTTGTGAACCAAATAGGAAATATGTGTGCTGATTTTGAACAGGCTGGCTATTTTCCTCCCTCTAGATGTATTTTATGTGACCTCGACCCCAGAATGTTGCTGTGATGTGTGGGCGACATATGGAACATTTGTGCCAATTTATCTATTTTTCCCTTTCACACTTACAGATTTTTACAGACTTTTAATATAGTTGAATTATGTTTGGGTTAAAACGCAACCCTATATAGTGTTGTGATTTAATTAAGTTACTAAATCACGTTTTAATTAAAGTAATTGTAACAAAGTAGTATACAGATAGTAAACAAAACTGAAATGAATCAGTAGTTTTGAATCAGAAGATGAGAGAAATTATATGAAGTATAATTGCACGAGTCAAAATGATGTCATAATTTTGAGTGTGATCAGTCAGAGACATGGTTCTTGAACAGCTACATTCAGGTGTGACAAAACATTATGGATTATGATCCCTTTATATATATATGTTCATTGTATGTACCAAGATGCAGAATGGCCAGCATTCACCATCTTGAATCTAATTGTCAAACAAATGTTTGTGCATAAAGTCACATGGTGTGCTTATTTGGAATGAAAATGAAAGTATTTGATGCATGGCTGGTAACTTTCTGAAAGGGTTAGTGAAATTTGAAATTTACCTGCCTTGGTTTCTTGGCCACAATTTTGAGAAATTTCAAACACTGCCATAAAATTATAAAATCATAAAAATTCCAAACAGTTTAAGGTAGCATGAAGGGTTTGGTGACGTTTTTGATTAAAGCATTCTCTGTTTATTGTCTCATTCAGAACCGTAATTTAGCCGTTTTATCAATTACCCACCTCACAACAAGGCTGTATACTTACAACCCACCTCACACCCTACCACAAGTCGTCTAAAATAGTGGAATAGCCAATGGACCTGAATTCTCACTAGCAATCAGATAAGGAATCACAATTGGTAGTAAGTTGTATACAACTTTAGATCTAGCAATAGTGCCTGCAGCTACAGCTGTGTCTTGAACTAGAAACTGAATTCTTCTTTCATAACACCTTCATATGTAGTGATGAATATATCATATGTCACAGCAAACATAAAGTAAATAAACACTACATAGTGGAATGGATATAGAAATTTGCTAATCTGTAAGGGTAGTTTTAAATCCCTGCAAGAAAAAATAATTAAGTTGAATAAATACACTGTTAAAATCTGATTATAAACCGCAAAACAAAATATCATGCATCAAGCAGCCATAAATGTAATACACATTCACATGGTTTTTATTTCGCTACTTTTTGTTGATAATGAAAAATACTAAATTAAATCCAGCAATGCACATTTCAATTGAAGAATTGAAGATATAAAAAAATGAACAAATCTGAATGAGTTCCACCTGTGCAGTACCTATATATATATATCAAAGCAATCTGACTTGGGGTTTTCAACAAGAATTCAAAAATATCACTTTTTATCAAAAATGAGAACTAAAGATATCATCACAAAATGAACAAATCTAAGTAAAGTCTACCCTAGGTACATATACACTAAGTATCAAAGTAATCAGGCTTGTAGTTTTCAAGAAGTCAAATCAAAGAAAGCTTAGAAAGAGCTCCCATGTGCTGGGAGTATTAGAGATACATTAAATATAATTCGAAATTACTTGAGATAGTGATGGAAAAGCTGAAAACTAATTATGCAAATCAGAAAATTAATATGAACAGATTTGAGTGTAAAACTAATGAGGTCTACGCAATGTAACAGAGCACCTATGTACCAAGTTTTATTGAAATGTGATTAGAACCAAAAAATTATGAATTATTATGCAAATTAGGGAATTAATATGACCATATTTTAATCCCAAACTAATCAGGTTTGTACATTGTCTTGAGCATCTTTGTACTAAGTTTCATTAAAATGGAATAATTAGTACTTTAGTTATCAGTGTGATAGCTTAAAATTGGTTTATTATGCAAATTAGGTAATCAATATGTACAGATTTTAACCCACAATTATACAGGTCTGTCTCTTGTTTCATTGAAGTGTGATGATTAGTACTTGAGATATCAGTGTGAAAGTTGGAAATTGGTTAATTATGCAAATTAGATGATTATAATGCATAAATATGTACCAAAAACTAAATGGGTCTCTGCATAGTTCTAGATTCATTGAAATGTGATGATTAGTACTCAAGATATCATTAGAAACTAATTAATTATGCAAATTAGGTAATTAATATGGACAATTATTTACCCTAAAACTAGTCAATTATTTACCCTAAAACAAAGTCAACAGCAAAGCTAAAAAGGGAGATTATGTGGAAATGCTGAAAATTCTCTCACTGAAAGATTTCTCAAGCTTTTTGTATATACTGTAAAATACTTTATCTTTGCTTAGAATTAATTCTCACTATTTTCGCTGAAGGAATGATGCAGTGACAATAAAATCCAGCGAATTCTGGGTATACTTTTTTTATATATTTTACATTCAACGTATCAAAAATCAGTGAAAATAAATTCCAGCTAAAATAAAATATTTGACAGTATATAATTAGTGCCAATAGTTGATCTCTATCTTTTGTTTTCACATGTTGAAATTTTATATACTAAATTTGATGACTAGAAATCAGTTACGATGTCGACCACAGTGGATGCAGCATACACATTTTAAATCAATACCTGTACTTTTTTCTTCTTGACATTTTTATCATGACAAATACAAAGAAACCAGCTTCTAAATTTAGTACAAGTGAAGTCACTTTATCCAGCATTGTAATGAAGCCCTGCAAGATAAAGACATTATAGGATGTGTTGTCAAGTAGCAATACCAAAGTTTTCTCAGATTACTAAATTTAAATCAGTTATAGTCATGTGACTCATTGTTCACTCATCAATATTGTTTTAAATACTAGTATGCCTTAATTTTTTTATTTAGCCAACACTTCTTTTTTGCATAAATGATAAGTTTCTTGGTTGGAAGCTGTCTGGGGTTTACTGAATGATAAAACAGTTACAAACAAAATTGTTCTCCCAGGAAAAAACTGGGAATGAAATGAAATTGAGAGCAAGTATGTGTGAAAATTACAAAAGTCACACAGCCACAGTCAGTTATCACACTGCCCAAAAAAAGGATTATACAACTCGGGCGAATCTAATTGGATGAGCATCTTAAATTCTTTATAGTGTTGGAGCAAATTGAAATATCTGCAACTTATAGAAGAAAATAATACAAAAGCATTTATATATGAATTTCTAATATTTCTAATTTCTAATATGGAAATGTACTACATTCTTACCTTGGGATTTAACATAGTAATGGAAAAAATAATGCCAAACATAACCAGGGGCAGAAACATCTTGCAGACACTGAAAAGCGACATGATAATGCGATTTGTAAATGATGTGCTCAACTTGTATCTAAGTGATAGTTGTGTGTATACTCAACTTGTATCAAAGTGATAGTTGTGTGTGTATACTCAACTTGTATCTAAGTGATAGTTGTGTGTGTATACTCAACTTGTATCTAAGTGATAGTTGTGTGTATACTCAACTTGTATCAAAGTGATAGTTGCAGGGATCTCCACGGTCTGAAAATTAAACAGGGCGCGCCAATGTAAAGTGGGCGTGGCACATTTGTAACGTGCATCATTGGATGTTGAAAAAATGGAAACCAGAAAATCTATTAATTATGCATAATATATATATTTATTATTACATAATAAATGAGAATTTTGAAGAGCTATTATTAAGTAAACGTCAGCACATACAATCAGCTGATTTTAACTCCACTATTCATCACGTGGCAACATCAGTTGTTTACCAGTAATGATCGCGTCCAGAAAAAGACGTAACAAGTTTGTTAATTTATTTAACCAAATAGATACATACATGTACATGCTTTATTTAATTTTTAGCAAAAATTGTGATTTATATTTATTTGGACGAAGCAA